AGAAGACTTTAGCAGCTAAGCTCACATCAAAATGAGCAATCACTATTCTCACATCATTGTCCTGTAAGAAAAAAAAAAAACTTGTGTCAAGGACGATAAATGTCTACAGATAAATAAACATTATGCACTGTGATCTGTGGATGTGTATTAAAAAAACAACCTTTTTCAGCTTTCATGCCACTCTGTAGTGATACACTCTAGAATAAATAAGTTTTGAAAAGTTCTTTATTGATTTATATAATGTGTGTGAGGAAACCAGACCCTTGATATACGTGCCTTCAATTTTTTCACACAATCACAGGGGGCTTCAAAGAAGCTCTCGGCCTCTGCAAGCTGGATGTTAGCCACCTCCAGATGCCTGCTTAAATCTCTCTGTACCTTTTCGAGAGAAGGTGAGTTTTCAGTTCACATTCTATCAAGCCCCATATATTTATTCATATGTCCCAAATTAGGATTACCTCTGTGAACCTCTGTTCACGCTGAGTCAGTGTACCAACTCTACTCCATCCATACTGCCTGAGAAACCTCACCAGCGCCACATTAACTGCAATGCCTGACGGCACAGTACGGAAGAAGTTTGGAAATCTTCTTTTGTTGACCAGTGAAGGTGCTGTTACTGCAAATGACAGCTGAGAAACACAGCAATATTTGACAAAAACAAATAAAACACCAAGTCTCTCAAGAAATTCCTTGTGTTTACCAATACAAATATGGAAATGGCAATAATCATCTGATTAAATGAGTACCTGCACAAGGTTCCAACCTTCCAGAGACTGGGCTAGGATAGACGTCACTGACGAACACACCCCTCCAAAGATCATGACAGGTTTGGGGCCATTGAATATGGTGTCAAAAAATGCTTTGAGCGCTTTGCTGTTATCACACTAAAAGCAGAAAGAGAGCAATGGGGAGGGGGTTCGATTTACCACAGTACTGATTGATCGGTGGAAATGTGGTACCATGTGATTAAGGTTACCACATACGAAATGTTTAACAACACTACAAATATGAAATAAAAGGGTTACCATGTTTATTCCATTAACAGACAAACCTTCAAACCTTCAAACCGGCTGTTATTAAGCCTCTCATCAAAAAACATGGTTCAAATCTTACTTATCAGACCGCCATCAATTCGTAGCAGTGAATGAAGAGGTATAGATGGTCACTGCAGTCACCCGGAGCCAGTACGTATCCAGCCCAGATGGTGGATCAGCACCTAGAGATGACCTCGACAGCCCTGAATGTCAGCAGAGATCAGGACAACTAGATGAGCCCCAGAGACAGATCCCCAGCGAAGACCTTGTCTCCTAGACGGCCACCGGGGCAAGACCACAGGAATCAGTTGAGTCCTCTGCACAATGTGACTTTGCTGCAGCCTGGAATTGAACTGCTGGTTTCGTCTGGCCAGAGGAGAACTGGCCCCCCGACTGAGCCTGGTTTCTCCCAAGGTTTTTTCTCCATTTTGCCACCGATGGAGTTTTGGTTTCTTGCCACTGTCACCTCTGGCTTGCTTAGTTGGGGACACTTAATTTCCAGCGATATCGTCGACTTGATTGCACAGATACTATTTAAACTGAACTGAGCTGGATGATGACATCACTGAATTCAATGATGAACTGACTTTAACTGAAAATTTAGTGTTTACTATTGTCATTTTGCATTATTGACACTATTTTCCTATTTAATGCTGTAAAGTTGCTTTGACACAATCTGTATTGTTAAAAGCGCTATATAAATAAAGGTGACTTGACTTGACAAACTCCTTTTATATATGCAATTAGAACACTATTACTCAATAAGGTTGGAAATTTTGCAAAGTCAGCAGAAAATACAACCGTCATATTTGGTTTGTAAAATATTTAGTTTCGTTTCTACAATTCAAACAATTGTCAGACAATTGTACAACATGCAACTGCAGTCATCTGGTAGGCTAGGATCATGGCAGATTAGTAGATTGTGTGTGTGTGTGTGTGTGTGTGTGCTTTTCATTGTGCCTTCTCTTAAGAAAAAAAATATATATATACAGAGACTTTTAGGGTTTAAAACAGTAGCATTAGCGTTAGCAACACTGGTAGTTTAGGGCTCTTTTATTTATAAACACCTAACTTCTATAATAGCAGAAATGAATAATTAGTGAATATATTAAATATACCCCTATAACGTGTTGTTTTTCAAATGTACTGATACAGTAAAACTGCTTGCTGTCTGAGAGAATTTAAAGAGATAGTTCACTGAAACATTAAAATACTTTCATCATTTACTTCTCAATGTCGTTCCAAACATTTATGACTTTCTTTCTTCTGTGGAACAAAAAATTGCATTGTCCATGCAATGTTGTTTTAGACCCACTTACTTTCATTGTATAGACAAAAACACCAAAACAACACTGAAACATTTTCAAAATATCTCTGTTAGATATTTATTGAGAATTAAATACATGACATGGTATAGGCTGTATAGAAAGTAATACAGGTTTGAAATGACATGAGGGTGAGTAAATGATGACAGAATTGTAATTGTTGAGTGAACTATCCGATTTAGCATCTGGGAGTATATCAGTTACTGAAGAAAAGAGAGATTTTGTTAGCTTCATCAATCAAATAAGGAAAAGCAGCAGGTCTGTTACCTCCGAGTCTATAAGATGAAACTGAAGCTCGTAGTCACCTAAAGGAGACGGCTGCTCACTCAAATGATGCAGTGCTAGATCAACAGCAGGAAGCACTTCTGCCGTAATGTTGCCCCTCCCTGGATCTCCGCTGAGTGGCATAATCCATAAAACTGGCAGTTTATGTCGCATCAGACAATAGCATGATGGCATCTGAGTCAGTTCCCAAAAAGTGAGAACATTCAACAAGTTCCACAAGTATTCCATCCTCCCAAAGAACATTCAGGCCTGTGCTTGAAAAGTAAGCATCAGTCAAACAAACTTAAGCTGCCCTGAGTCTTTAAGCATTTTCTAAAGCCTCATCTGTTGTCACCTGGGAGAACTCTAGCCCTCAACCATCCACAGGGATAAGGAGATAAGGACTGACTGTGGACATCTGCTGCTGTACACTAAATCCTCAGAAAGAGGAGGAAATGCCATCACACAAATCTGGCCACTACACAGGCAGCACATATAGATAAACTAATCAATAATCTAAACACAAGAAACACAAAAGGTCTTATTACAAAATTCTGAAAAGAAACGTTATGAATATATAGACACATTACATTAATTTGTCACCCATCTGTATACGAAGAGTTCATTTGCAAAATCAGGTAACTAAAAACTAAAAAATCAGCTACAATCACCACTTTTAATACACAAACAGGCCTGTATGGAATGCACAAACACAGGCAAGTGGAGTGATACACTACACTCTTGGAACACCACTCAAAGCCAATCAAATTCTAGAACTGCTGTGTAAAAAAGATCTGTTTTACATCCTTATAGAATATTAGGAGAAGTAAACATACTACAACACTGTTTTGTTTGTAATATGCTTCAAACATGACTCACCAACAGCCTGGAAGAATGCAGTGAATCCCAAGTGTGACTCATGATTTGAGTCATCCGTTAGAAAAACCAGCTGAAGACGGTTACCAGTAGCCAAGATGGGCTTGTCACCTGGGTGAAACCTGTCTGTGGAATTCCGTCCACAAAACTTCCCCAGAACCTTCTTATCAGACACAACCTGCACGTAAAAAAAATCACATGTGCTGATGTATTACAGAATACATAGGCCTTGCTAAATAAATGTCTTATAAAGCCAAATGATAGTAGTCACAATGACATTTCAAACCTAATTTATATGTAGTGCATGAAGTATGACCTTTTTTGCCATTATTCCCCAACAAAACACAATATACAACACAGTACGAGGTATGGATTGTGCAACTCAAATGAGGTCACAGCACTCGAGAATTGTGTATGAAGACATCCACATGATACAAGTTCTAAGATGAAGCATCACTAACAGTGATAGAATCGTAGTAACAGTCTGGAGAGGACTCAATGTCCAGGTGATTGAATGTCAGCTGGAGCTGGTAGCCTTGTGGCACCTCCAGGTCCCATTGTTTCTGGAGATTTGCTGGATAGGGTTGAGGGTACTGTGGAGAAGACACCTCCCAATTTTCAGTAGAAAACAGAAAAAGATAAAAATCAATCGTGTTGCTGGAATAATTTAGTTAATTTACTAAATACACGTTATAAGATTGTTACAAAGCGTTGACATCCACCAATGACTGCTATTAAATGAATCACGCAATTTAAATTCTATTTTGTAAAATATGCAAATTTGAAGATAAAATCTAAAAACAATTTACCCGATTATTAGATGTACTCTATCCATAACAAACATGCAGATGTCAGTAGCCGTTTGACTAAACTGTTAACGCAGTCATTATTTTTTCTTGTGGTAAAGTGCATGTGGTTAACAATCACATATAAGAGAACAAGTCTAAAAGTCATCAAAAAAGGTAAACTTGTTTGCTTTGGCTATGGCAGAAGAAAGAGAGAGAGGGAGATATGTGACTACTTTTCCCGTAAACCATGTGTTTTCAACCTGCGTACTCAAACAGTAAGGGTTAAAGTCTACAGAGATCATTTTCATGCATCTTTTCTTTACAGATTATTCGATGTTTTCACTCTTTTGAAATACAAAGGAGTTCCTAAAGTAGTTTTGAGGTAATAAATCATAATTTACAAATCTCCGCTGTTTGACATGGGATGCAACGGAGGTAGAAAACCTTTAAAAGTCACAACAAAAGTCAGGTTTGTTTGATTTGGCTGAAGAGGAATACTAATCTGGAACACTAATCTGGCACCACTGCAAGGCATGAAAAAAGAGAGATATGGCAGGCTGGGCAGCCCATGAGCACTTTACCTGCTGGATTACCTATTAAATTAGTTTAATGTTACTAACATTGGACAAAAAAGGCCTTGCCAGAATTTTTTTTTATAAAATAGGAAATAAGAGGCTGAAATTCTTTACTTGTGAAAATGGTTTTATTGGCGAGTATAAAACAACTTCATATAAAAGTTTCAAAATTCTGAATTATTCATGGAAATAGCAGATGCCTATACATCAAACAGATACAGCAGTTAATAACTTTATTGGTGTGTATTACAATTAACAATTGGTGTATTTTTGTGATTTGATGTTAGTTTTTTCCCATGGTTTCCTTGATCCAATCCAGGTAGTTTTGAACTTTAGTATAGAAGCCCTTAAAGCTTTTATTCCCACATCCAATAGGACCCCAAGATACAATGCCTGTAAGATGATAAGGCTTGTCTGGAGACCCATAGCCCAGAACAGGAGAAAACAAAGGACCTCCACTGTCTCCTTGACAACTGTCTACGTGGTCTCCTCCAGCACAGATCATGTTATCAGTGACAGGCAAACCCACTGAATCACATTCATCAAGTGGATATATCTGGACAGGTGCATGAAGCAGATATCTACTAATTCCTTTTTCATATCTTCCAAAACCTGAGATTGTATCCTCTGCCTCAGGTTCATCAGTTTTGTTTGGTAGACACACTGACCTGATGTTTGGGCCTATAGGCACCCTTTTAGTCATTTTCATGAGTGCAATATCATAATCATAGTTAGATGGAGAACCAGTACCAACTCGCTGATAATTTGGGTGAATTATTATCTTCTCAGTCTCCATAGTGACTGGATTTTGGCTTTTACCATCAATGATTCCCCCTAACCAATTCATGGTGTTTTTTTCATATCCATCCACTACGTGGACTGCTGTTACAGCCCAATAATCATTAATTAAAGATGCATCACCTCTGGGACTTTCCCTATGAAAGAGCTTCCAGGGAATCTGTTTCAATAATGCTGGCTTCCCACCAAAGACTCTGCCACCAATAGAGGCCTCTGTATTAATTCCACACACTAAAAAGTGAGAGAGATATATGAAATGCATGAAAAAGAGATATAAAAGATAGGGTATATCTGGGTTTATAGGTGTATTCAGAATGACTGAGTACCTGGTTCACATTTAGGCAAATCTTCTGTTAATTGTTGACCACTCTCAGACACCCAGTTACCCTCAGCATTACAGGTAAAATTACCTGAGGAAAGTGAAGATAGTGAAAAATGTCAAACTTATTAGTATTTTGTTAAGAATTACATCAACGTAGTTCACATAAACCATACACATCTCACCATTTTTATCCAGTTGATAATATACATTTTCGCACTTAAGACTGATCTGGTTCAGATACGTTGTTGGAGGATCTTTTTCTGATAGTTCCATTAATTCAGGAAGCTCTGGAATGCCGCAATCCACAGCTAAGGAAGAAAACAAGAAGAGTGTTTTCTTCCTCTTCTTTTTTTAATGACACATTAATATTTTTTCAGCTTCCTGCATTTTGGATATGTCTCCAAACCTAGTATGCTTCCAAAAATGTTCTGGCCATTGTACTGTCGGTGTGTCCACCATGCATACCACACATTTTGTGAGCTTGTAACATTGCATCATGTCATTTACTGTATAGGGAGAACAGCAGTGAAAACAGCCAATTTAATTTAAAGGATTTGAGAGAGGGAGGAAAATGGTCAGTTAAAAATGAATTATGTCTTCCCATGTACAGTATATCTTTAAAAAATGCAACTTGTTCAGACATCAAGAAAAAAAGGCATTATAAGAAGACATTTTCTCACGTTCACAGGGGATAACAGGACTCCACTGTCCATTCTTCTGGCATGTGGCCTCATACTCAACCTCAGCTGATTCATGCTATGGAATATGTTATGCTAAATGTGAGTTTCAGTGATTAAAAAAGGTTTGACTCATAAACTACAGTATAAAGTACATGCTGATATATCGTGCGACTGACATCATCTAACACCAAAAACATACTATCCAAATTTTAAAACAATATACAATTCAATTATATTGATTAAAATATCCTTACCGGTAACACTTTCTATGAAGCCCTTATTTATAATTCTTTATACGGGTATTCTTAAGGCATTATAATTAATGCATAATGCATTATAAAAACATCATAATATATTGTATCATCTCATAAATAATCATTTTAATACATTATAAATCATCATACTCTTAAAAGCTATAACCACAAATAAGTATTATAATACATTAAAACTGTTCTTATGATTATTTATGAGATGATACAACATATCATAAGGTTTTTTATGATGCATTATTCATTCATTATAATGCCTTAAGAATACCCTTATAATGTATTATAAATACGGGCTTCATAGAAAGTGTTACCTAATTTCCTAATATAATAATATTCTATTAATTATTATCAATTTAATTAAATTATATTTACTAATAAAATTAGTTACTAATTTATAATAATAAAAAATATACTACTTTACTAATAAAAATTTATATTGTATATTTTAATTGATATTTAAAAATACATTTTCCAAAATGTTTCTCAGCAAACCCATAACTTAAATCTGTGGCCCTTCAGCATGAGAAGGTAAAATCAATCAGCCTGAAATACTTACTGATTTCAATACATGTCCTTTGTCACATTTCACTGTAACTTTGTAGCCTGTGGGATATTCAGAATCCTGCGGGTACAGACTAGATTTTGGTGTCACAGGTCCAGTACATTTCATCCCTGTCAGAAAGCAAATAAACAACAACATAACATGTTAGGAAACAATTCTCAGCACTTCAATCAACAATCAATATTCAGATCAGTGATCCTTCAAATTAGTTTTTCAATGGCAGATTCTCAGATCATGTGTTCCCACCAAACCTGAACATGCAGTATATTGTTGTTTAGTTTTAATGATGGGGGGCAACAGGCACACCTCTTGTTTTGTAATAGAGGCTAAACCCTCGGTTTGCTCCTTTATGGTCTGTCCTGAAGATAATCTCAACACGTTGAGACCTTGTGAGCAGGGACGAAGGGACATCCCTTCCACAAAATGTCTTAACGTCACCAGAGAGAAGTTTTATCTAGGAGGAATGGATATGGAAAGAGAGAAGAGGTCAATGAGGAGAAATACAAGACTGGTTCAAATATTGAACTAAACATGTTGCATACAGTTAATGAGTCGATGCACTCTCCATTCTGTTTCATTTCCACATCAAACACCCCAGTGAACATCAGCTCAAACTGCAGACCTTCTTCTATGGCCAGAGTGTAAGAACACACAGAGTTTTCTGGGTACGGCCCAGGCCACTCAGGTGACATCAACACACCTTCTTGTGAGCCTGTGCAATCTTCACTGCAGCTAACTGACACAAAGAGAGAAAACAAAACCGTGTCAGACGCTGTCTTGATTCATACTGTCTGTCTAAACACTAACAGAATGAACAATCACATTATTATTATAAGCGCATGCTGCAGTCATGCCATCTGCCATGTTAAAGTGCCCCAATTATGGATTTTTGAAAATTACCTTTCATGCAGTGTGTAACACAGCTCTAAGTGGTGGTGGATGAGGAGATACCCCCTGACAATGTAAAGCGCTTTGAGTGCCTAGAAAAGCGCTATATAAATGTAATGAATTATTATTATTATTATTATTATTATAAGTGAATGAAAACATCCTGCCAAGTTTTAAATCTGAAAGTGCAACGTGTATAAAGTTATTGTCGCTCTAAAGAAAGAGTCGACTCTGAGTCATTGAAACAAGTCATTTTTAAAACGAATCCCAAGCCGTTTCATGTTGACGTCAACATGAAACATTAGCATATTGCCCGCCCACTTGTTGGTCTTTTCTCGTTGGTCTGAATGAAAATGCAAATTCATTCTTTGCCACTAGGTGCCGCTTTTGGAGCGGTAAAATAGTGGTTTCCCCGGTAACACTGTACACAAAGCAGCACTGCGCTCACAAACACTGCTTTATCAGGCATTACAGGCATGATGAAATGGAAATGAAATCGACCAATCGGACCAATCATTAGCGTCACGCAAAGGAGGGGTTTGGAAAAAT